TTAACCATTAATTATTATGACTATTAGGAAAAAGTCAAAACAAAATAATACACTAATGACTTCTGAACAAAAAGACAGCATTATTTTCATTTTAAACTTTTATTTTTGGTCCACGCTATGGTGGAGCATGCCTTTGAGCCAAGCACTTGGAAAGCAGAGGCACGTGTATCTTGGTGAGTTCTAGACCAACCTGGTCTAAAAAGCAAGTTTCAGGACAGGCTCCAAAGCTGCACAGAGAAACCCTGCCTTGAAAAAAACAAAAATAAACAAACAAATAATTAATAATTTTTGCTATTACTCAGAGTGTGTATGTAGTCCTTTATTTTTTCAGATATGTAAAAGCATGTATGTCTCTGAGATGTGAGCAAAGTAAAACTGTCTAGAGGGATAAAAAGTAATGACAGGAGAGATGAGAAAAGAGGATAATAGCATTGTGTATGTGTGTGTACATAAATATTATATTTACCTAAGGCCCCATTTTTCAAGAAAGACTCATGTAAATATAATGCAATATGGAGCAAGGACTGAAGCAAATGGAAACAACAAATACCAGTAGCCATTCCCAAAACTGAAAAAAATGAGAAGGTATGTGAAAAAGTATTTCCAATTTAATTACATGTTATCAAAGAAATTCAAGGTTATGAGGATTCTTGGCAAGTCATTCCTACCAATAACATTGCTCAATTTTTGGAAAATAGGTGCACAACAACATAAAATAATTTAGAAAACATCAAAAGATTCATAAAAGCAATAGAATTTGTATAACTTGGATGAAATGAAACCACTATCCTGTAATGATGTATTGGCAAAATTGTTAAAGCAAATAGACTGAGCAGAACATAAAACTATTCCTAGAAGCAGATACCCTGTAGGCATATCCCATCTTGTTTTGGAAAATTTAGCAATAACTTTCCTGTGGGTCATTTATGTCCAGTTTATACAGAAAACAGTCAAAAAGTCCAGGCAAGAGCAGATTCTTGTCCAAATGTATATTTTTGCCATGCTGAATAGCTAGCTCACTTGGTAGAGCATGAGACACTTAATATCAGGGTTGTGGCTTCCAACCCCACCTTGTGTGCCATTTTGTAGTTAGTGTAGCTCTCCCACCTGGTCTCTCTGCCCTTACTCCCAAATAAACACACAGAAGCTTATATTATTTTGGGGTTTTTTGTTGTTTTTTGAGACAGGGTTTCTCTGTGTAGCTTTCGAGCCTATCCTGGCACTTGCTCTGTAGTCCAGGCTGCTCTCAAACACACAGAGTTCTGCCTACCTCTGCCTCTTGAGTGCGGGGATTAAAGGCATGTGCCACAATGCCTGACAGAAGCTTATATTAGATACAGACTGTTTTGCCAATTGCTCAGGCTTCTTACTGACAAGCTCTTTCTTTATTATTAACACATTTCTATTAAACTATGTATTGCCAGAAGGCTGTGGATTACCATAAATCCAGCATATTACCCCTTCAGCAGCATGGCATCTCCTTATCAGCATCTCTCTGCCTCTACCCAGAATTCTCCTCCTTTGGTAGCCCTGCCTGTATATCCTGCCTGGCTACTGGCCAATCAGTGTATTTATTCATCAACCAATTAAAAAAACATATATACAGAAGACTGTGGGGATCACAGACCCTGGCCGGAAACCCACCCCTCCATCAGCCTGGGAGCAGGCAGCTGCAAGATAATGTTTACTGAAAACATGTTTACTGAAAACAATTCAGTGCCATAAAGCTCTTGATAGGGCTCCGATAACGGCTTGCTCACTGAAACACCATGACTTTGATCCCCTGACGACTAGCTGCTTCTTCCTGCTCCCTGCTGTTTCTCCCCGATTCTGGTGCCAGAGATTTAACCACCAGCAAGGAGGGTGAGATGTCTGTGAGAGCTGTGAGAGGTGTGTGAGAGCTCGGTTGGAGAATTGTGTATGTATGGATGGCAGAAGTCTTTAAAAAGGGAAGCGTTTTTTCTTGGGGAGTTCTCCTAAGCCGACTTGGGGAGCATAAAATTTTCTTAATGCAACCTGTGTCATCAATCCTCACCACATTCTCGGATACAGGCTGCTCAGCAGGTGCGACAGAAGACAATTTCCCATTATAAAAAAGTGAATATCACTCTCTGAGCAACTATAACTGACAATTCAGTTGTTAACATTTATCATAGTGTCTAGGGTTTTATTCATTGAATCATTCATTCATTTTTTAAACAATGTATAACAAAATAAAATATACAAAAATAAACAGAAACTATCACAACAGAGTTGGACAAGACAAACCCACTCTAGGAAAAATGTCCAAGAGAAGGCATAAGAATTGGAGATCCACTCGATCACATACTCAGCAATCCCAGTAAAACACTAAACTGGAACCCATAATACATACTGCAAAGATCTGATGTAGACTCATGCAGGCCCTGCCCATAATGCTTCAGTCTCTGTGAGTTCACAAGAGTTTTGCTCTTCTTCAATTAGAGGGCCTTGTTTTCTTGGAGTACTCCATCCCCTCAAGCTCTTACACAATTTTCCATTGCTTTTTTATGGAGATCCCTAACACTCTAAGGCATGGATCTCTTGTAAACATCCCCTTTAGTGATGGTGGATATACTTCCGTATGTTGTGAATATATGTATCTCCTATTGGTTGATGAATAAATGCTTATTGGCTAGTAACCTGGCAGAAAGCATAGGTGGGGCTACCCAACTAGCAGAATGATGGGAAGAGAAGTTCAGAGAGTGAGGAGAGAGAGATATGCCATGTAGCTGCCAAGAAATCAAGCAGCTCCAACATTCTCTGGTAAGCCAAGAGAATATACAGATTAATAGAATTGCATTAATAATTAAGAGATAGCTAGCCAATAAGAAGCCTGAGTGATAGGTCAAACAGTTTAAATTAATATAATCATCTGTGTGTTTATGTCAGACTGAAGGTAGAACTGGAATGGACAGAAACTGCATCTACACCTTAGTGTGAAGTGTTCCAAAGTCTCTCAATCTCTGTGCAATGACTGGCTGTGGGTCACTGTTTTTGTTCCCATCTGCTGCAGGAGAAAGTTCCTCTGACAATGGCTGAACAAGGCATTGATCCTTGAGTATATAAAAACATCATTAGGAATATTTGATTAATATGTATTTTTCAGACCACCATTACTTCCTTTTCGAGTATGTCCCTGGGGAAAATATGATCAAAATAAATTTAAATTAAAATATTTTGAATAGTATGTAACATAATAAAAAAGAAAACCTCTCTGTGTATCTGTGTAATCTCAACCTGTTGCTATACAACAAAGCAATATTTATATTGTACTACATACCACTGTTACCTTGGGTCAGAATACCTGGAAAAACTGTCCATATACTGCAAGTGGAACCATAGCTGTTAACCTGAAAATGGTTCGTTCAGGCAAGGAAACTCACAGAGGGTGGTAAAATATCTCACGTAACTGAAGGACTTATAGTAATAGAGGTCACCCCATTAGATGTGGAACCATTTATATCTCAGGCCTACAAAATCCCTGGTTAATTAATGCTTCTGTCTCCCTGACAAGTAATGTGGTTGGCAAACAACTAATTTCTCCAGTAGCTTGTCTGATGTGAGACTTTAGCTTGGTCTAGTACAGGAGCTGTGTAGTCAGAAATAGCCATACACAGCTGGTCTATGAGCTGCATATTTGAGGGTAGGTCTATGGGTGTGTCCTACATACATTCACAATGAGTACTTGGTTACACCTATGGGCCCACTATGGTGTATTCAACATGGTTCCTGGATAAGTGGTTTGAGCCTGACACAGTAGGTCACATGTGTGCTGCAACACAGTTGTCAGGCTCAAAAATAAATGCATAATTTAAGCTGAGATACAGCCACAGGGCCACCACAGTATAAGCTGCATTAAAAGCATGATCCTCATACATTGCATGCACCACGAGTGCTTGGAATCATGTCAGCCTCCCACAGTACATGCACAATGAGTGTTGGGTCAGAACCACTATTTCAAAACTACTTTATTCCACAGCAGTCACAGGATATTGAAACACGAAAAGTAAAAACTCTTACTTCAAAGTAAAATAGCTGCAAATATGCTTATTTATTTACAAATTGATATATCATCAAGAAGTAAGAAATATTTATGCTAGCTAGATAAGAGAAAATCATGAACTGAAAAACTTGATCTTGCTCTGTGGCTGAGACTAAAATGAATTCCTTATGTTTTAAATTTTCTGAGTCTTGTATGAGGTAATTATTATTTTTAAAATGCCCCCTTTCCTCAGTGTTTCACTTTCATGTTTGGGATGCAAAAATCCGTATGGTTTTCCATTCATAAATAAACATTCATTTAATTACTTGTGTCCTCCATATATTAGTACCTGTAAACTTACTTTATAGAAACCCATTTGTCCATGGAATCACATTCAAAAGTCATTAATATGCGGCTTATGATTCACGCAAAGCTTCACTCTAGAACTACAAGATACAACAAAGTTTTTAATCTCCAGTATCTCACAGCGATGAAGTCACTTAAATACGAATACATAAATATTTTAAATGTTTGAATGTGTCACAAAGAATGCTCCCATATATGATCATGAACTAGTAGTGTCTTAGGGAAGATAAAAGCTTCTTAAACTTATATGGAATGTAAAGGCACCAGGACAATTCCTGGGTCACTGAAATAATTGAACTCATTAAAATATATTCAGGTATATTACCACAAAAGTGTTTAAAAGTCATTTTTATGTGTATTTGTTTCAGCAAACCATGTTTGTTCAAACACCAAACATCTTCTATTATGTGAGGAATGCTCTCAGTCTTCCACTCACTGTGTTTCCAGTCCATTCTCTTATTAGGTCAATAAAACCTGCAAGGACTCGCTGATCACTTGGAATTTATAAAAAGGACTGTGAACACCTCCAAAACTTTTCCTCTGACCAAATTCCCATATAATCTGTGATAGGAGGACTATTGCTGCATTTTAACAAAATTCTTAAGAAAATGAATTTCACAAACCCTTTTACCTTAGGGACTATCCTTGTCTTCTGTTATGGATACAGGAATAGCAATTTCTTCTGAGAGTCTTTAGAATAAAAACATGCAATATTGGGTGGCATTGGTCCTTTGAGCAACTCTGTTGAAAGATATGTTACCTGTATATTAAATAATAGCTTTATGTTTATGTAATTCACATTTACCCAGGTTGTTAAGATTTTTGTTGCTGCTTTTGTGAGTTACAAATTATCTCAAATCATAAAACATTCAGTGAAGACTCACTTATAATTATATTTAAAAATAAAAATAAAAACAATTAATAGCTTGGGAGATGGCTCAGTCAATAGGAGTGCTTGTTGCTTACACACAAAAACTTGAGTATGAATCCTCAGCATCCACATAAAAAGCTGGGCATGGACATATGCACTTGTTTTTTATTGTTAGTTTGTTTTGTTTGTTTTTCAGATAAGAGTGAAAGTTTTACATTTTATTGCATTGGTGTTTTATGGGCATAAATATCTATGTGAGCTTGTCACACTTGTAGTTACAGACAGTTGTTAACTGCCATGTAGGTGCTAGGAATTGAGTCTGGATCCAATGGAAGAGCAGTCAGTACTCTTAAACACTGAGCCATCTCTCCAGCCCCTAGACACATGCACTTGTAACCTCAGTACTGTGGATGGAAGAGAGAGGGTATCATTGGGGATTGTTGGCTGCCAGACCAGCTCTGGGTTCAGTGAGATATGCAAGTTAGAGAATAATACACGACACCTCATGCCTTCATGACTTCACACAGACTTATGCAAAACATAACACACACACACACACACACACACACACAAATAGCAGAAATGGAGGTTCTTACATGCACCTTGTTCTGATTGTTGAAGTAACTGATGGCTTTGTAGTTATGTGCTCAAAGCACGTAGTGCTCCTGTTTCATTCTTCTTCCCATAACCCTACAGCACCAATGGCCCCTTTTTTGTCAAGAAACTTTTTAGGCATTTCATTGAAGCTCATGCTCTCTTGCAAGAAGTTGGTTTCATAGAACATGAAATACACTCTATCTCTAAGCATCAAGCTGTCAACAATCTCAGAAGTCATCACATGTTTGGTTCTTTGAAGGTGCTTTTTTGATTGTTTGTCCACAATATGTGATGAAACTCTCACATGACTACTTTTATACCCCATAGGCTTTTGTGTATACTGCTGAGTCTTTGTAGGACACTGGAGAGCAACATTGACTCCTCAGCTTTATTCCATCTGAACTACACTTAGATCTCCAACTGTCAGGGCTTCTAGTTGGTGAGCTCTGCACCAACCACTATGTATTTCTACCTAGGGTTTCACCACAGTTGTGGAACTCATTGGAGTGTGGCATGGTGGGATATTAAGCTGCTACACAGATGCAAATCTATGAAGTCATTCTGAAGTGATCTTCAGCAAAGCCTGGCAGAGTTTTAACTTTGCCATTTTACTCACAATTTTCCCAGGAGACAACTCACCCAAAACACATTACTGAACAGGATTAAAGACCTGAAAACTAATACTTGTAGATATAGGTGCATGGCATGTTATGTGCACTGTAATTGTATGTGTGTGATTTCAGGTGCATGCATACCAGTGTGCTGTTGTGGTGATTGGAATACAGACTTGGGAGTTTACACTCAGCTTCAACCTTAGTTTTCTGGCTGGGTCTCTGGTCCATGATTGCACACCCCAGTCCAGCTCTCCATTAAAAATCAGAGATTCTCTCCCTCCACTTCCAATATTACTGTAATCTCCCCAGGATTATAGATGCACACAAAACTATCTGGTGCCATGTGGATTCTGGGCATCCAAACTTCCATTCTCACATAGGCACAGCTAGCAATTGATCCACTGGATGAACTCCCTAGCCATGGATTATTTACAGCATCTCTCACTGTATCAGAGGCATGAAGTCATTTCAATATTGTATGCTCTACAAATAATTATTAAACTTTGATTGACAAAGAAATAAAGCAACTGAAATTGTTTTACACAAAGGAAAGCATGGTGTCACTTTCTGAACTTTATATATTCTCTATATACACAGTGTATTTAAAATCCAGACACACTTATTGGAGTGAAATCTTTCATGTAATTCTACTACTTACTACAGAAGAGAACAGCAAAATATGTTATAAGCAAATGTAGAAAATATGATCATTAAATCCAAAGACTAATTTTTTGTTACTACATATACGTTAACATCTATTCTGGATAGCCTTTAAAGTGAATATTGACTTAGAGACAATAAGTACATGGAGAACTCTTAATTTCCACTTCCTTGTATGTTTCAAATACAGAGACAAGTTCATGAAAAGTTACTACTTACAATAAATTATTGTGCAAAACACCTATGATCTTGGGCAGTATCAGAGAAACTGGCATCTATATCAGAATCAATATCACAAACTGAAATGGTAAAGTGATAGCAGTGTTACTGTTGATGGTTTATCTCTGAACTAGTGGTGGTAGGAGACCTGTGAGTGTACCCATCCTGTATAGTAGTGAAAAGAGCTTCTCCAAGGATTGAGTTGAAATTGTTCTATTGAGGATGAAAATTCCATGTATAAGAAGGTAGAAATTTGTAGGTAATTGGATGGAGCTAGAAACAATGATCCTGACTGTAGTACCTACAATACTGGAAATAGACATATCCAAGGTATCTTGTGTGACTCTGGTTAGACAGGATGAACACAGCTGAAATATAAAATCTACAAATTATATTCATGGAGGGCAAATCTATGCTGCTTCTGAGAGAACTTTCCTGCTCTAACACCATGAAACAAAATGGCACTGATTAAGGGCATTGTTACTACCCAAGGAAAAAGTCATTATGAGGCATGCATGAACATTCCAAAATTATTGAACCAGTTACAAATTAAGGGAATAATTATCTCAAATAGATAAACATAGCAAAATATCAAGTAAAGATGGTATGATGTATTCTCCTGTATTATACAAGCAGCAGACTTAAAATTCTGCTGAGTTTTGGCAATGGGTGATTTGCAGTAACACAGCATCATATAGAAAACAGCATAATTAAACATGAAAAAACTAAAATCAGGAAACATTTGTGACAAACATATTTTAAATTTAAAGGTGAAAACAGCATATTCTCATTTGTGTATACTGGCATTGTAGAATATCCTCCTCACCCAATTTGAAGTAAAATACTCAAATGCAATATTTATAACTAATGATTAAAGATGAATTTTTATTAGGAATAAGAAATAAAATATACCTCAATTTCCAAATTTATAAATCTGATAAAATTCCAACATTCTAGAAAAGTAATACTTATATATGGCTGTTTTTTAAAATTCATTATTTGTCCACATTTCTGGCTAAAATTACTTTAATCTTTTCCATAAAGCAATGGTAGTATTTTGATATAACTTACCATTTTTTAAAAAGTAATACTTATATATGGCTGTTTTTAAAATTCATTATTTGTCTACATTTCTGGCTAAAATTACTTTAATCTTTTCCATAAAGCAATGGTAGTATTTTGATATAACTTACCATTTTTTTAGGGTTAGGGCAGAAACCAGGAGACAGTAACAAAAACAGAGACCATGGAAGAATGCTTCTTACTAGTGTGAACTTGATGGCTTTTTCAACTGCTTGAGATTGGCAGCACCTTAGTTATCTGGGCTCTCAAACATCAATCATCAGTGAAAATAAATGTCCTCCAGACATGTCTTCAGGCCTGTGAAGGGGAGGCATTTCCCTAGTTAAAGTTACCTCTGAACCAGACATGTCTTTAACATATTTTTTATCAAGTTGACAATTAAATAAATAAACAGCACAACAGCCCTCATGCCAATTCAACACACAATTGTCCTTTATTAAATCATAGACTATAACCTTGCCTTTTTTCTTCATTCAGTAAATCTCAATTTGTTGATGGAGTTTCTGTCCTGCCCAGTTCTGCAGCCATTTAGTCTCAAGTCTACCCAAAAGCTGTAGAACTTGTTTCAAATGTTGGCTAAAGTAGTCTGTGTGGCTGGATCATCTCACCAAGTCACCTCAAAATTGGTATGAGCAGTTTGTAGTTCAAAGCTCATCTTTAGTTAGTTTTATTCAGCACCATGGTGTTGTCATTGTCCTGATGACCATAGTTGACAGTAGAAAACTGATAGATACTCAAACCAGAAATCATGTACATGAAAGTAGACAAAACCTTTTTCTAGAATTGGTCAGTGGTCTATATAACCATTAGTATCATGATAAAAATTATGAGATTAGAAGCAATATAATACTCCTAAATATTTGCTTCTGTTCCATATCAGATGGCTATTATGACATCAGATAGAGATATTGGATTTTACCTTAGCAAGTATGTTTGGGTTTAGAGAAGAAGAGAACCACACTCCAACTCCAAAGTCAGCTTTAATCTTTATTTGGACTGGGACTACAGAAAACACCATTTGTATATTATTTCTGTACAAAAAAGAAACAAATATCTGGGAAGTTTTATGAAATTTTACTCTGTTGTAAATATGATATATCAAGAGGTCAATTTACTCTTGCTCTGGGGACAATTTTTCTAGAAGATTTGTCCTTGTTCTTCAGATGTCTCACTGGCCCAATGGTCTCTGGGTACCCTAGCAAGATGCTTTTAATTCTCATGAAAATACAAAAACAAAACCTTTCCCCAGCCCTAAATTTGGGAGTGGTTCTAGAAATTAGAAGGGGAGAAAGGATGAAACATGAGAACGAGCATGGAACCAGGATCAGCACAATGGACAGAGCACAAGCCATGGAGAGCACATTAAGCATAGTTTACTATAGCAGAGGTAGACCGAATTGGGGGAGACAGACATGACAGAGAGAGAATGACTGAGGTATAGAAGTCTGAGGTGAGAGATAAGAGTGAGATAAAAGAGCATAAATGGGCAGGGGTCTGTCTAATAAAGGGGTCCTTTACACCTGCATGTAAACTAGTTCTCATGGAACTCTTGGCTGGCCAGAGAACTGCGTGAGTGCCTTCTGTCAGATAACAGGGCACATCAGTGTAATGTCTGAACCTTTGACTCATATTTTTTTCTTCACCTGAGAAAACAAAAGTAAATCTCTTCCCCAATACAGCACATGATCCAGTTTCCCTTTGTAGGTCAATACTTCTTTGAAGCACAATGGTTGGTTTAATTCCATAGTTTCTTGAACTATGCAAGGTCAGGAGACACAAGAAATAGATAGCAATATCAGTTTTCTGATCAAGCTGTAAAGTTTTATTTTTCTCAGGCTCATTATATAGTGGTTAGGTCGGAAGGTTGGTAAGTAGGGATAATTAAAGAGAGGGGCCATTGCCTAGGAAGCAGACCACAAAATGTTCTTATTCATGGGTCACTGAAGGTGAGCAGAATAGTAGGTGAAGTGTAAAAAGTTTGCAGAAGGAGGGGTTGTTAAGTAACCTAACTGGAATGTTTTTCTTTAGCTATCTTCCTGTTGATTCATTGGCGAGTGAGTGAAAGCAGAATGGGCTGTTTGTGTGGGCTTTTGGCAGCCTTTAAAATTTAGTTTTAATGATTGATCCTGGCAGTTTAACATTTAAGGAAACATTAGATCTGCTTACAGGATGAGATACTTATGGGAACATGGACCCTTAACAGTACTTACATCACTGAAGAAAATGTCTGTCCATGCCCCAAACACTATGAGTGACTATAGGTCCTCAATGAGATGTGGAACTTCATGAAGCCCTCCCCCAACATGCTAAAATGTTGACATAACTCATCTAGTGCATGTTTTACATGAGGTTTCCTTGACTGTGAAGTATCTAGGTTGTTTCTGTTGTTATCATCTTGAGCATAATAAACAAGAAGCTCTTCCTCTTTTAAAATTCAGATTCCCAAGTCTTAGAGACACAGCATCTGGATACAATTGAAAGGCAACATGTCTTTGCCAGGCCTACTTCATCATTGGCTATGAGCTTCACTTATAAACACTTGCCTTTGGTGGCATCATAAATAACTACCTGGCTGGTTTTGTTGTTTCTGGTGCCTGGATATCTGATGTTTTGGTTTCAAACTTCTGGGAATGGTTTGGCACCCATCAGATAATCTCCTCTGACACAGGGTGAATTCCTGGGTATTACCAGGATTGACCTGGTCAAAGATGGAAGGTGTGTTAATAATGTCCACCTTTGAAAATATGGGAAAATTCTCTTTGATGCCTCCTGTTTTGAGCAGGAAGATTCCTTATGTAGTTAAGTTTGCAGTGTCAAAAACCCATTACTAACGCTAACCCTCTAACCCTAATTCCAACATTATACCCATCCCTCTAACCATGACCCCATTCCTCTAACTGTAAGCCTAATCCCTAAACCTAACCATATCCCCTATCTCTAACCCTCTAATGCTAACTGTAACCTTCTAACCCTAATGCTAGCTCCTAACCATAACCCTCAAACTCTAACCCTAACCATCTGATTCTAACCACCAACCCTAATCTTAGCCCCTAACCCTAACTCTGAGCCCTAATGTATAACGATATTCGATGCTATATAGGGAAAACAATATATTTATTTACCAGAGAGAGAGAGAGTCACACAGACCAGGAGTTAGAAGCGTGGCTGGCTTCCAGGAGAAAAGGGAAGCCCCTTTTCCTTTTCACTTCCTTTTATCTCTACCTTGACCCCGCCCTGATGGGCGGATAGCTTTGTGGGGTTCACTCCTACACTAATGCTAACCACAACACTAACCCTAACACTGTAACCCTCTAACTCTAACACTCTAAACCTAACCCTCTACCCTAACCCCTAACCCTGAGTCCTAGCCCTAACCCTAGCATTAACACTAATCCTAACCTCTAACCCTAACCCCTAACACTCTAACTCTCTAACCCCTACCCTTATTCTAACCCCATCTATTAAGTTGTATGTAATCTAACAACCTCTTATAACTGAATGCTACTCTTTGCTTTGAGGGGGCTGAGATGTTCTTGTTTGCTTTTCTTTAATTGCTATTTCTTTCCACAGAGAATGGTTGTGCTCTTTAGTTTCTTGTTATGGCTACTTACACTTACCACAGATACCTATGTATTTACACACACACACACACACACACACACACACACACACACACATTTCTCTTCCAAAAACCAATCTCAAACCAATACTTTTCCTACTCCCAGAAGAGACCTGTCACTAATACTAATGATGCCATACAGACACTAGAGGTAACAAGGATGGACAGTCCAAACTATCTGTCTTAGTTGACAAACATCTGTCCCACCATTTCAAGACAAATCTCCCATAGGGCAGGTCCCAGAGTCATTCTGAAAGGATACTCTGCAATGTGTTGAGCTACCTGAAGACTGTGTAGTGTGTTCCAGGTTCCTAGCTTTAGTAAGCTGTCACATATAGCATTATAGGCTTTGGTGATTCAGCTGTCCTTGAGTCATATCCATTACTATAAGTTACTCCTGGGCCATATTCCTATAAGTAATCCCAATAAAACTCTTGTCACACAACACAAGTTAATAACTGAAGCTAACAATGTCTGATGACTTCTCCAAATATCAAAATATTGGCCATGTATATTTGGTGGTCTATGCTAAGCATCTTCCAGTATCTTGGTGCTAAACTGCTGTGGCAGTTCTATGCTCCAGAAACATTCTTTGCCCCTTTCCAGAGTTCCCTTATGTAACTTAACATGTGGATACTGATTATTGATAATCCAAGTCTCAGAATTTTGTGTGTCTAAGTCACAAATGAATATTTGTTAGAAAATGATCTTCCTTGAAGGAAGACATGCAGTTCTGTGATAGGGCTTTTGGCATGATACTATATTTTCAGCTGTGCTGACCACAGACTAGGGAAAACATAAAGCACATGGTGTTGAGTATTATGCCAACAGAGAAGAGGCAAGGACTAGTGGCCTCAAAACTGGAATTGTTCACTCAATCCAGAGCAAAGGGAATTGGTGTGTAATGCATCCCTCATGCCTCTGCCTGCATAGTGAAAGTGCTTGCAGTTGGCTGGTTTCTCTTCTTCCCTTTTCAGGAGTTATATTTGTACAGCTTTGAAATATGTTCAAGTCTCTGAACATATATTTGGTGTGTGCATGCCCAGATTGTTGTAATCCAAGCAAACCTGGCCCTGCCTCTGACCTACCTGTACATGGCAGTTGTATGAACCCTGACCCTTCAAAAGACTCCACCCAATTCCATTCTCTCTTAGTCACTGTTTTTCTGAAGGTGGAGACAGGTCTTTTCTTGTCTCCTTCTTTTCTGTCCTCTCTCTGCTTCTGTGTCTCTTTACCTCATTTCTCTTTCCTCTCCATCAATAAAACTTTCACTGTGAGTTTCATCTACATGTCTCTGTTCCACATCTTCCCACAGTCTATTATGTTCTTCTGGGTTCTACATATCCAGTTTATACAGCATACAGTTAAACAATTCAGGCAACAGCAGTTTCTTGGGCAAATGGCTAGTCTTGCCATATTAAAAGCAATCTCCGTAATAAGTTTCTTCAATCTCCATGTTCCTGGGTAACCTAATTGGTGCTGCCAGGAGCAGTTGTGTCTTATTGTCATGAAAAGGCCTGATAAATCATTTTAAATTTCATATTCTGTCGATCTTTGAAAGGTTTGTATATCTAGAAAACATAACTAACATAAGATTCGACTATTGTAGGTTACTATCTGTAATCTGTATTTAATTATACATTACATTTTTAAATGAGTTGTATAAACAAAATACCTTAATAAGAATAGAAATATATACATA